AGGGGGAGTCTAAGTGCCTCCCCCGGCCTGAGAAATGGCTGCGGCTGTAGTAATTGAGGCCGCCTGAGCTAGGCCAATGCATATTGATAGAATCTGAGCCAGGGCCTCCTGAAGACTCGGAATCACAATGGGCACAGTTAGTGCCTGAGCTGGTGCTACTGAGCGTCCACAACTGGGACCTGATCCTGAACTGGGACTGCTAGTGGATCTGCAGGTGCTACCCTAGCTGTTGTGCGGGCTACACCCCTGCCCCTACCGCGACCTCGACCGCGTCCTCGGCCCCTAGTGGCCACAGTTGATGGTACTGGTGGTCGTCCATCCTGACCGGTAACGCGTGTCCTCACCATCTGTGAGAGAATAGAATAACAAAAGTTTAGTACTCAGATCAACAGATTCGCACGACAAGAATTTCAAGAATATGAAGTTTTCCTAAATGTTCTGTAGCCTCTCGAGGATAAATACAGACATTTCTGTACCGATCCGCGAGACTCTACTAAACCTGCTCATAACTCGTGAGACCTATGTCACTTAGGCTCTGATACCAACTTGTCACGACCCTAAATTCGGACTCGGTCGTGACGACGCCTATCGTGAAACAAGGCCAACCGACATAACTCCCAATTCATTTTAAAACAATTATAATAACACAATTTAAGTCATTAACATGCTAATAATCCCAAAATAAAATTGAAATAGTACAAATTGAGGAAACCAACACAGCCCGACATCGGTGTGTCACCAGTCATGAGCATCTAATGTAAGTCTAAGAGTATGAGAGAGACTACACAGTCTACTACGGAAAACTAATACAAGGGAAAATAAGAAAAAAGGGAGAAACATTGGGCTGCGAACGCCGAGCAACTACCTAGTGATCTCCGAACCGCCTGCTGGAAGCAATCAGCACTTGCTAGCGAGACCCGAAACTCCTGAATCTTCACACATAGTGCAGGGAGTAATGTGAGTACGCCAACTCAATGAGTAATAAAAGTAAAGGAAGCTGAGCGGTAAGAAAACACGTAAAACACAGCAAGATGCTATAAAGAGGCAGTATAAAAACAATACATTGCAATAAAACAGTAAAAACTTGTACAAAACGCCTTAGTTCATTAAGAACCTCTTTTAAAACCTCTTTTAGCAGTTAGACAAGGAAAAGAAAAGCAATGAGGAAAGATAGCCACATAAAATTAGCCCCTCGGGCAAAAGGCCAACAGAATCAGCCCCTCGGGCTATCTCACAATCACTCGTATCAGCTCCTCGTGTAATATCATGAAACAACATCAGCCCCTCGGCTATATCACGTCACAAATTGGGTACCCGCGCTCACTAGGGGTGTACAGATTTCGGGAGGGGCTCCTTACGGCCCAAGCGCAATATCAAGTCATCTCGTGGCATAATCAATAGGCTCTCGGCCTCATATCAAGCCACCTTGTGGCGTACAACTCAGGCCCTCGGCCTCATAATCATGAATCAGCTCAATACCGCTGCGGCATGCAGCCCGATCCCATAATAACCTCATAACACAAGCCCTCGGCCCTACTCAGTCAAAAATCTCTAAAAGCCACTCGAGCATAGTAAAATATGATGCTCAGGTCAAAATATCATTTAAGATGTCAAAACAGAGTAAACATGGATGAGTTATGAAAACATTAGAATATAACACGACTGAATACAATTATAAAGTCAAAATAGTGAAGAATAGTAGTAAAAATCCCCTAAGAGTCCAAAACAGTTGGCATGAGGCCCAAATATGGCATTCAACCCAAAACATGATGATAGCAAACAATTTTCAATCAAATACACAGTAAAACAGTCATTCGGGATGGATTAAGTCACAATCCCCAACGGTGCACGACCCCATGCTCGTCATCTAGCATGTGCGTCACCTCAAAATAGCACAACGATGTGAAATCCGGGGTTTCATACCCTCAGGACAACATTTACAATCATTACTCACCTCTATCCGGTCCAAACTCTAGCCCGCGATGCCTTTGCCTCTCGAATCGGCCTCCGGATGCTCCAAATCTAACCAAAATCAGTACATAACCATCAAAATATGCTAAGGGAACAAAGCCCACTCGAAAGAAATCAAAATACAACACAAATCCCGAAATTAACCAAACCCGACCCCCGGGCCCACGTCTCGGAATTCAATAAAATTTATATCAATCAACTCTTTATCTCCCCACGAGTTCATACATATCAAAAGTACCAAAATTCGACAACAAACAGCCCCTCAAATCCTCAAGTCAAGGTATCCAATCTCAAGCCCTAATTCCTCAATTTTTCTCTCTTAATTTCCACTATTACCATGATTACAAAATGGAAAAATGATCATAAACTCAAGTAATGAAGCTTAGGGAACTTACCCAAATGATATTCCTCGATTTTCCCTTGAAATTCACCGCCTTAACTCACTTCTCTCGTCTTCAAAAATGGAGAACTTAGCAAAAGTTCGCAAAGGAAGCCTTATATACTTTCTGATCCAGGTCTTTTGCACCTGCGGTCTCTTTCTCCACTTCTGCGCTACCGCTTCTATGGTCCCAAGCACCGCATCCACGGTTTTCATTTAAGAGCTTATTTCCGCATCTACGATGCATAGACCGCACCTGCGCCATCACATATGCTATTCCTTAGCTGCTCCTGTGGTTCCAGCTGATACCCCCCCTTGGCCTCTTCTACGGCTTGCTTCCGCACCTGCGGGGGTCGCACCTGTGGCTTCCCAACCGCATATGCGGTTATGACAGCAGTCCTAAAGCTTCAGTTGCAAAGACTCAACTCAAATCTTCCGTCAACCAACCGAAATCACCCCGAGGCCCCTGGGACCTCAACCAAAAGCACATACAAGTCATATAACACTATCCGAATTTATACCAATCTTCAAAACACCTCAAACAACATCGAATCAACCAAATCACATCGAATTCAAGCCTAAGGTTCCAAAATCTTCCGAATTCCGCTTTTGATCAAAAAGTCTATCAAACCACGTCCGAATGACCTGAAATTTTGCACACATTCCAAATGACCCAACGGACCTACTGCAACTCCCGAAATTCTATTCTGACCCCTATATCAAAATCTCACCTATCAACCGGAAAAGGCCAAAATACCAATTTCGCCAATTCAAGCCTAAACCTACTACGGACCTCTAAGACACGTTCTGATCACACTCCTAAGTCCCAAATCATCTCCCGAAGCTATCCGAACCATCGAAATTCACATCCGAGCCCTTTTTTATATAAGTCAACATCCGGTTGATTTTTCCAACTTTAGCTTACTCAAAAGAGACTAAGTGTCTCAAACCTTACCAAAACCTCTCCGAACCTGAGCCAACCAACCTGATAACACATAATACCGCTGAACAAGACAATAAGAAGCAGAAATGGAAAAAATGGAGCGGTAACATATGAAACGACCGGCCGGGTCGTTACAGGGGTACTGTAGAACGGGAAATGGCCAGGGGTTAACCTTTATTCCCCTATGTATCTATACTAATTTTGGGGGTTTTGGGTGGGAAGCATGATCTAGAAGCCTAGAGTTGGCACTTCTAAACACATTGTCCAAACGCCTATTAAAAAAGGAAATTTTACCTCTTATAGCAAAGGTATACACCCTATTTATTATAAACCAAAATTATTTTAAAATATTATTTTCTATAGCTACCTTTTATATTTTATAGCAAAATAAATATTTATGGTATATACTACCATTGAGGCATGATATAAGGGGTTAAATACGGTATTTATATTTTCCCCTCTCTTTCTTTCAATTAAAACATGATTTTCTCTCAGAATTTTTCTTCTTTCTCCCTCTCTCTCTCTCTTCGAGCAAAATAGTCTGAATCATAGATACGCGAAAGAGAAAAAAATCATGAAAGAAAGCCTAAAAATCTCAAAATCAGAAACATGAAAGTAAACCTATAATAAAAAAAATGGAAGTGGAGATACCTTGGGCGACGATGAGATTGAAGAGAAAGAAGGATTCTTAAGGCGGTAAGTAAGAGAGAACAGAGGAAGAAGTGGTCGAATTGAAAGCGTTGTAAATTATAATGGAAGAGGTAATGAAGAGATACAAGGAATTCTTGGCCGGAAAACGCCATCTCTGACGAACTTTCTTTTCTTCTTTGCTATTTAGTTACATACAATGATACAAATACATTGTATTCTGTACAAATTCACTCAAATACACTGTTCTTTTGTATAAATACATTTTTTTGGCATGTGTTTATGTATTTCGAAGGGCAATATCTTTTTAATACAGTTACACTTGTATTCATGTATACTGTACATACAGTATACATGAATACATGATACAAACATTGAAATACAATGAAGAACATAATATAAACAATAAATACATTTAGTTTTAAAATAAAGTGAAATGCAGTAAAATACACTGAATACAAATAGAAATACAGTGAATACAACCAATGAAATGTATTGAATACAGTAGTAATAACATGTATTAGGAATAATTAAAATACTGTTAATATAAATGCATTTGAATATACTGAATATAAAATAGTGAATACAGTAAATACAAACATTGAATCTAATGAATGCAATAGTAAAAAAATATATATTGAAACACACTAAATACAAGAGTTATATACCACTGAAAAATCATTCTAATTAATTGGGTTGATAATGAGACGTTAGAATTGATTTTGTTGAGTTATATTAGGAGTATATTAGACAGCTAGACATGCCTATTTTTAAGGTAACTGTCGTTACTGTATTCATGAATACATGGCGCGAATACATGTGAATACATGCGCATACAACTGGACTGCCCTGATTTTAGACACTTTTTGCTGCTGTATTCATGAATACATGACGCGAATACATGCACGTACAGCTGGACTGCCCTGATTTTTAGGCACTTTTTGCTGCTGTATTCATGAATAAATCAACGCGACTGAATAATAGCTATAGGAAATAATTATGTATATGGTAGCTATAGGAAGTTAATAGCCACTAAACAATAGTGGTTTCAGAAAATTTTTCATTAAAGAACTTCAAACATTTCATTCAAAAATTACAAAATTTTGCACTTGGACGATATTTTAAGTCTTTTGCTATGTTCATCTTTACTTCACAAAAGAGGGGTGAAGAAGGAGGGAGTAAGGTTGTGGGTCGGGGATAGGGGGCAAAATAGGGGAAGTTGATACAAGTTTCAAATTTACATAAGATAGGCCATAGTTCCTATTTTCTGAACATAACAATAGCCTCCCTCTTCCCTGCATACCCAGGCATCAGGGGGTGATATCCACCATCAGACCTCCTCCTCTGCATTAGAAACCTCTTCCAATCTTTCAAGGAAACCTTTCTCGGTAGTTTTCTGTGTAGTAGAGGGATTAAAAGGGATGCCATCTCTCAATGCTGCATACTCAGGCATCAGAGGGTGATATCCACCATCAGACCTCCTCCTCTGCATTTGAAACCTCTTCCAATCTTTCAAGGAAACCTTTCTCGGTAGTTTTCTGTGTAGTAGATGGATTAAAACGGATGCCATCTCTCGATGCTGCTTCAAATTTTACCCATAGCTCTTTCTTCAAAGTGTTCTCACCAGGATGCTTTCCCGTTATAACAATGCTCTTGGATTCTGTCATCAAGGGAGTGCTTTCAACTATATCTAAGTTGCCATCCCGTTTCAGTCCGCAAAAGAAAGAAAGAACAATAAATATCAGAATGATCATATTAATGATGACAACCAAATGGAAACATCCTAATTGCATGTTGTAATTTTTTTAGCAAAGGAAGATCTTGAATATCATTTTGCTTAGGTTAAAAGAAAATTGTTTGCCGAAAAGCTGGGGCCTGGGGATGCAGTTGTTGGCAGTGATACTCACCAGCTGCATTTGTCAATGGTTCTTCCACAGGTAGCTCCATCAGAACACAAGTTTTGGGTGGTGAAAAAAGCAAGTCTGGTGATTCATCTACCGCCTTCCCTCTGTTTGTCAAGTTTTGACTTAATCTGATCCCAAATAGCTCCGGATACTTCTTCGTCAAATGCTCAGCAGCTTCGGAGCTGGAGGATTCTGAATCTTGAGTAGAAAAGTGACGGGCAACAGGAAATGGTGTCATTTTATAAGCCCCATTCCTGTCCCTACAGTTGTATTCTGACGAGGGTTCAAGCAGGACACAGGTCTTCGGCGGTGAGATTTTCAAACATGGAGTCGTTACTAGCAATGAGTTGTCAATTTGTGGAAGTTTCACAGGGGAAATAAGATCGCTTTTCCGAGTGACCTTGTTGATGGTCATATCATTATCAGAAACTTCGGTTGGAATTGATTTCACTTCATCACTTACATGCAATATGCCCATCTCCCCAGTTACATCAGAAAGGGACGGTGGCTGACTAGCCGTAGCAGAGGCAATATTTTGAATGGCTTTTGTATTCTCAAGCAAACGATCTTCTATATCTCCCATGATATCAAAAAGAGGGTCTTGCTGGGCATTTGTATTTGATGTATCCTTTTCTAACTTTTTAGAGGATCCCTGGCATTTGGATGATAGTACTTTGGGATGAGGCAAAGGTGTGAGCAGAAAAAGTTGTCTCCCGCCCTCAGTCGTACAGCCTGCACGCCAGGACACAAGGGGTGATGGGGAGACCAGTGAATCCCACTTGGATTGTTCAGGGCTTTCAACATCATCAAAACTATCAACAGCATTGCTTATATTATCAGCCACCAGAGGAATTGCCTCACGAGGTCGTGACTGTTCATACTCAGGCCTCGCGGATAGATCGGAAAGGGCTTTCTGGAATTTAGGAACCCATGACTGCATTTTTCGACAGAAATATATGTAAAATACGATGTATCAAAAGACTTTAATGAAGGATAAGAGAATATGACATAGCAAGAGAACCTTCAGAGAAGCTTGCATTTCAGACAAGACATGCACAAAAGATTCAATTTCCCTTTCATTCTTCTTGCCTCCTAGTTTGAGCACTTGAACAACTTCATCAATCTGCAGTTGATCAAGTGAAGAAATATGTCATTAACTTCTTTGTGAAAAAGTCGATTATGATACAGGGAAAAAACTTCAAAGAAATAAGTATTTGTAAGACTGTAACAGCTCGAGCAAGATGTAAAGCGAGATGTATATATGCTCTTTTGAGTGTAAAGCAACTTGAGAATACAGGATGGAGCTTATGTAAGAGTTACTGTGATAAATATATAAATATCTGTATGCCTTGTCATTATTCAAAATGCTTACACGTCAGGTAAAGATGACCATAAGTAAGACCCCTAAACCTAAATAATGTAAAAAGAAATTGAGCGCTATGCTGATGATCACTGAACTTGAACAAGTTCATCAATCTTCAGTTGATCATGTAAAGAAAGATTTCATTAACTTCTTTATGAAAAAATTGAATTTGATACTGGAAAACAAACTTCAAAAATTAGTAGCTGTTATAGATCAAGGAAGACAAAATTCCAATTTCCTTTCGTGTTGTGAAAGGCCCAACAACTTATGGCGGTTAGGGAAAAACGACAAAAAGAAAGCGGAAGGTCCAACCTTTTCACATAGGTCTTCGGTTTTGCTCCATTTACCAGAGTAAAAGGGCCAACAACTGATGGTCACGGTATTATTTTGGAGTAACCGTATGAATTTCCTAAAGAACATCAATAACAACAACTACGTCTCAATTCCAAGCAAATTGGGGTTGGGTATTTGAATCCTCAAATAGTAGCAATATTGAAACCTACAATTTCCGTTAATTAGTAGCACTCATCGATGCAGCATAACTGACAGCAGCCAGAGACACTCAACAGCTGAGTGCAAAGACACCAACTTTAATAACCAATATGACCTCCTCCTCCCTCCCCCC